AGCTTCGACAAGCTGTAATTCTCAATCTGACTGTTTGATTGTTATAAACTTCTACCACTAGTGTCTTTGCAAGCCTTCTAAATATTCAAGAAGTTTCAATCTAATCTAACTTCCGATTGCAAGAAAATGGTGTAAATCCTCATTGATGTATCTTGATCGCTGTCTAGAAGTCTTTGACTTACGACACCAAAAGTCACCTTATTCCAACCAGTAGATCTCCAGATATTACAAAAATCCTAAACAACCTCAATCTGATACTCCGGATACCTCTTTATACTAATGGTCAAATATCCTCTATCTGTTCCGTCAGATTAATACAAACTTTTGCATGCACTGAGCATACTCAACCCTCTAGACACCCCTAAATTTCAACCACAAAAGTTTCTCTAATTTCACAAAATAGTCAAGAGTACTAGCTTTAACTTTATTGCAAAAAAAAACCCAATTCACCAATACAAACACTGACTTTCAGCAACGATTGCAAAAATCCTCCCAAACCCTATGAAATTCAATTCTACACCTTTTGAAGGAGCTTGAAGCTAGCTCTCCGACCTCAAAATCTTGATCTCCAAATGCCCTTTTTTTTATCCTCTTCCTTTTTTTTAACTCCGTATAGTTCTATTTTTTCTTGCCATGGACTCCGAATTGGAACAGCCAACATCGCTTCCCCGAAATTCCTGTCTCTAAGATGATCTTTCCACAGAAAGGACGTTTCTTTTGAAATGGCATAGAGAATGGAACAGCTTGAAATAGAATCAAAGCCTCCATATTTGAGACGTCATTAGATTGCCCAACCAAGTCAGGTATCATATTGGGTAAGAGGCCCATACTAGGACCAGGATTGGATGTCCCCGTAATTGAGTCAAATTGGCCCTTCACATCAAACTCACCCGAATATTGAATTGATCATTTCCACTTTTTTCGACTCTTGGTAAGAACGGCTCGGACTCATTCCATCCGATTTACCGAAGAATCTTGAAGACTTTGATTTATCTCTTCAATTTTTCCTTGACATTGAATTTGTTGATCCTGTTTATTGAAATTGGTTGGAGCATTACATTGCTGATAAGTATGCCTTGACTGCTTGTAATTCCTACACATTAGTGCATAATCATCAGTGGCTTTGAGATTCGAATATTCACTGGCATAATGATCAACCTGTCTATAATGAAAACAACGAAGTGGTCTTCTTGCATCATGCATATTGGATGTCTCCACCAGTATATACCTACTAGGCTTCTTCCATATAGGGTTGGAAAATAATCCTGGTTGTCCCGTTGGTACGGAGGGTACTTGGTTTGATGACGCTGGTGGAGTGACAATTACTGACTCTGAATATTGGCACTGGAATTAGCCATTGTTTCTAACATCCAAGATGACTAAATATTAATAATAACTTTTTCATTTATATTTTCACCATATAGTCGTGTTACAACATGGCATCTGTTTGGATCTCATGGTCTTATTGCTTAAGGCATCTAATGTCTATGGAAGGATAGTGAAGATATGCTATTCTTTGACTTTTGCATAGGAAAATATTTGATATATGACTTCTCTCAGACTTTCTTATTTCTACAACCATATTCTCTTTCATTTTCATCCAAACATTCCTTTGCACTTCTCTGCATTTCTTTGCATTTTCAATGATTGTTGTAATAACTATGATTAAATCTTAAGATTTTATAGCTAATATATCTTAAGTCAATCAAATGAATTGGAATGTTTCAGAGACATATAGTAATATAGTTGTATATCATCAATACATTCAACTGGTATAAATAATAAAAATTATATTTTACTTTTTTAAGATCTATAATATCATTTTGAGTCATCTATGTGATAAAGAGATGAATCTCAAAAAAAAAAAATCTTAATACACTCTTGTATTATTCAAAAATACTAAAAAAGTATTCAAAGATAATATATTATTAGATTAGAATGGCTATTGCCAAAGACAAGAAGACTTAGAAAGTCTTGAGATAAGACTAAGAACTAAAAAAGCATTGACAAGAATGAAGAAGGCTTCACTGTTGCCTCCATATATACTATTAACTAGGAGTTATGTGGCAATATCCTATAGGACCTCTAAAATGTGTTGACTTTGCAAAACACGTATCTTAACTTGCAAGACAAGTTTTTTATATGTAAGCTACATAATTAACTTTTTACAAGCTAATAATACATGGTTAACTTATTAACTAAGTTTCTATTCTATAAACACATGTAAAGTCAAAGCAACATTTATAAAGCTTCTAAGAAGCTTCTTTAAAAAATATTATGAAATAAATTTATTTTTATCTACTTCTATTTAATCATATAAATAAATTACATAGTAAATATGTATATTCGTGATACCATGACAGTTTTTCAAATACTCCAAATAATTTCATCTGTATTTTGTCTTGTATAGGATGACCTAACATATTGACTTATTTTTCCAATATATTGACTTTATTAACAACCATACTCTTCATTTTGTTATTAATTTTCTTCTTTGGATAATATTGGGTAGTGTGCTTAGGTTCTCTGCAATATAAGCATAATTCTTTTTAATGGCAATAAGTCTTTTCTTGCTTAATAAGAAGTTTAAAACATACCAGGTCAATTTGCATGTCTTTCACTTTTGAATGTATGTATTGAGAAGGTACAAGTAGTGCCATTGAATTATAAAAATATTGAAACTTATTTATGTAATTCTTAGATTGAAATCCAAAAAGCCAATTGTTGTACTACATAAAAATATTAATTGCTTCACTCAATGTTTTAAAATTAATTAAATTTAATATAATTTTTTTACTTCATATTGTAATTTGTAGAAAAATTATTTGACAAATATAGCATTATTTTACTAAATATTAGTTAGAAATTATCAAAATTGAGAAGAATATTATGCTACAAATTGATTGTTTTATCACAAAATACAAATCTTGTTGGTTGCAACATAAATTACATTATATTCCACTTTTATAGATAGAAACTCCACTAAAAAAAATTTCTTTCAATCCTATTGCATCTTGTGGTGGTAAATTAAATTTATGCATTGTAAGTATTAAATCCTTTATTTTCTCTTATATTTATACTATTATATTATTTTCTTCATTAAGCTTTGCTATGATAAGATAATAGAAAAAAAGATGTCTAATATCACTCTAAACATATAGAAAAGATAACTTAAGGACAAAAAAAATTCTAAGAATAATATCAATTTAAAAGTAGATAATGTACAATTTCTAATATGATTATGTATTATCAAGAGAAAGAAATAATCAATTTTTAATTAAGAAAAGACAAAGCTCTGATATTGTAAGTGAATTCTTATCAATCTATCAATGATAAGAACTTAAAAAATATAAATAAATATATGAAATATTTTTCAAAGAAAGATAACAAAAATAAATAAAATAAATATGGATATTCAAAAAGTAACTAGAATAGCTATTATCAAAGACTAGGAAACTAAAAACTCTTGAAATTAGAATGGAAGCAAGAAAAGAGTTGACAAAAGTGAGGAAGGCTTTACTTTTACTTCTATATTTACTATCTAATTAGGAATTACATAGTGACAATCTATAAGACCTCCAATATGTATCCAACTTGAAGGACATATGTGTAATTTGTAAGCCACGCTTCTTATATGGGTGCTACATGTTCAACTTGTTGGCCAAGTTTTTAATCTATCAATTATCTAAAGACATGTATAAAGGCAAAATTGCATCTGCAGAGCTTTTAAGAAGTTTTTTCATAAGATATTATCAAATTTATCTACTTCTATTTACTTTTATATATTCTTATTGTCTAGATATTATTGGAATAAAAATATATGTTTGTGACATATGGCCAATTTTTTGGTCCAATTTTTAACCTATCAATCATCTACAAACATGTAAAAAATCAAACCTATATCTATGAAGCTTATAAAAAGCATGTCTCCAAGATATTATCAAATTTAGCTATTTATTAAATACCTAAAAATCACTGAGCCTATGCCTTAGCTTATTTCTTAGATGAAGAGTTTATTAAAATAGATAGTATATCTTTAGTAATAAAAACTAAACTTGTTCATATAGAAGTCATAAATAGTGATTTATTATCTTTCGAGATGTTATCTATAAAACCACTTGTTATACAAGTGAGATAGGGAGTAACAACAAATGTTTGTATTGTTTTTATTTATATAATACATAATTACATATATACATATACTTGTATTTGAATCATTTATTAACTCAACCTATCCATCCTAACCATCATCAAAAAATTATCCTTTGTCAAATTTGTATTGGTCAAAAACCAATAAAAAAATTAGATTCTCAACCAATGATAATGAGTGGGTTGATTTAGTAAATGCTTGGATCAATTTAACAATTCCCTATATATATTTCCTCTTGAATGTACTTCTTTGCATGTAAAGGTTCCTAGGAATTGCATAACTCACTTTTTCAAGGGAATGTTACTTTATTCGAGCTGATCATGTGAAGAAGCAGACAATCTCAGTCAAAAGAAACGAGACGAGGACATGAGTCTCCATCGGCCCAGACACAAAAATAAAAATGGGAAAAAGCCAAAAGATAAAAGCCAAAAATTAAAATCCAGCTCAATGGCACCCAACTTCCGGAGTTCAGACCACGGCGGCCAGCTAGCTCCTCTTCGGTCAAGCTCCCGCGTGTCCACCGATTGATGGACCCAACCCAGCCCACACCATGAAAGACAAAGAGCTGCACTACATTATGAAGATCGTAACATCTGCATTCCGAGTGTCTCTAGCATCTTTTTCCCCTATATTTTTCGCACGCAATCAAAGCATCATAGCTCCATGGTAGTTCCTAGTATGCACCGGCCGAACTCTCACTTTGCAAAGTTCAGGTGTCGACGATCTGAAACTCAAACCATCTACGTAGCCAATGGTTATAGTAGATCACGTATTCAAGTTCGGTAGAAACGATCACTCAACAGCAAAACAAATCCGAGAGCGGAGGTCCAGACTAAGGGGGAATTACGTGGGAGTTAACGAGGATGTTGGTTGATCGGCCCGTAGTAATATGTACATGGGTAATAGAAAAAAATAAATTGAGTTCGCTTTACTATGCCACAGCTAGGCGAATGAATGATTTGTAACCACAATCGAACCTTTTCAACTGGGCAGTTCATGGGGTTCTCCTAGATATTTAGCCTCTAAAGAAGTTTTTGGAAAATCGGCGTGTTCGCCTTGCGACACACAACTCTATATAGACTCTCTCTGATTGCATAAAATGCAGAGATTCTGATCTGAGAGAGTTACCAGGACCGCATGGGTCACAGCCGCAAGGTTTGTAGTGAAGTATGAAACGACAGTTATCTGGAATCTTGTACGCATCCATTGTGAGTGAGCGACTTCATCGCAGGCATGCTCTGGTGAACAAGCAGAAAGAATCGCTGCTGGAGATATTATTCCTCCAACTTTAGGGAACTCTTTTTTCAGGGAGTTACTTTTCATAGATCATGATGCAAAACATCGCAAGAGCGCAGCTATCACCACCCCAGGGTCACTCAAATGCGGCAAGTGGCCTTCCGTGTCTAGAATCTCCATGGTCGTCCACCCGCCCAAATTTTGTTGCAAATAGTGCGCCACCTGTAGCGGCACCGCCATGTCCTTCATGGTTTGAAGGAGATGCACTGGCACTTTCACCTGCAAAGAATAAACGTTCACCACGAACATTCATCTCAAATTCGAAAATCCTATAATTTCAGTACGGTGTAATTTCACTCATGGAACGCCGGTTGAAGAATAAGGAACCAAAATAAGCTTCACTAAGAAGCAGAAAAAACATACACAAACAAAAAAGAAGTCTTTGTGAAATCTTCATACGAGTGGCAATGTGGAGCGCAAGTCGCTCTGGAAGATGGTTCTCGTAATGCTTAATGCAATATCGGGTCTGATTGAGTAAAATGTTCGGCAGAACTCCTGCACTGCTCGGCTCTGGAGGTCGGCTGCCACCAACAACTCTCCAAAGCCTGTCACCCATGATCTAAAATTCGATTTCATATCCCCATAAATTTGTTCGAGATCTTGTTGTTCAAATCCCCCAAAGTAATTGACGTCATTCAAGTATCTGCGTATTGAAGATGGACGTCAGACCTTATTTGACGAGAAAATTTCCTAAAACCCTTCTACTCAAGTACCTCAAGTAAATACTGTTCATCGACTGTGTTGGTGTGAGGGTAAGTGGATTTGGAAGTACCTGGGCGATGATCCCAACAAAATAAGCTTCTTAAACACTTCGGGCCGCTCAATCGACGCTAGACAACCGATCATTCCAGACACAGAGGCGCCAACATACATACAGCTCTTTATCTCCAGTTCGTCCAGAATAGTCAGCAAATCGTCCGCGTAGGCATGAAGCGAGGAGTAACGATTGAAACTGAAATCATCTGCGGAGGTGCTTCCAGCGCCCATCAAATCATACAGAATCACCTTGTAGTCGTTCATGATATACGGCAAGACGTATTTCCACACCGTCTGGTCAGATCCAAACCCATGGCTTAGGACTACATACTGGTCTCCATTCCCCACAATTATCACATTGTGGGACTGCATCAAGGAGTTGTTTGGTGGAGACATGTTGCCAAAATTGCCACACTTCTTCACAAATTTAGATTTCTCCGCAACAAGTTTTGGTTGATCGATTCCAAGGAAACTCCTCAAGCAGTCCTACCTTACATCAAGACTCACTCACTGCATGCGAATCACAATCTAGGTTCCTAACATCCCTCTCCAGTCTACAAACCGAATTCGAAAATGACCCGTTGCATTTGCTGAAAGCAATACTATCCTCCGACGTCCAACAAGTGCGCAAAAATATATTTGCCACAAAGCAGCTGTCCTAAAACACGCACGATCCACCGCTTCGAATGACACCTCGGCCTCTTAAGAGATCAGATTGAACTTCAGACTTGGAAAAAGAAAGACCTCTTCAGCCTCTTCATAGCCACGTAGTTTTGAATGCCACAATTGTTGATTGCTAGAGTAACGGAGTACACACACAGAGCCTGACCATAAGTCGCGGGACAAGCAAAAAGACCCCAACTCGCCACTTACTGATGCCCAAGTTGCTGGGCCCTTTATCGGGGGCCAGTGCCAAAGATGTAGGGTGCTCCTCCAAGTGGAAACGAAGCCCTCTGGTAATGAACACTGATATTGTCCATTGCACGCGTGTCCTGCCACTAGCACACCGAACCTGATGAAAAACAATCTTCCAGGTCGGATGAGCTAACACACACTCGCACGCCTCCCGCGCACTTCCACACATAACTAATTTGGATTAACACAAATGATGATTTAACTGAACACCACTAGTTTGTTAGGGTGCGCGACATTCAAGGCCCCGCGCACATTCACGAAAAAATGGGCGTATTATTTTTGATCTTCTGTTAATGAAAGTAACAACGTATTATCTACAAGGTCGCATGCGTGTGTGGATTGAATGTGTTTTGGATATCTTTTCATTTTATTCTCAGTATATTATGGGCCTACGTTTCTTGCCACCATTTTGCTCTCTAAGTATTATATTTTTCTTCGCCTTCTTCTGAATCATGAGACGAATCTTTTTCTACGAGAGACAAGCAAGCTCAAAACCTCTTTGCATCCTCCTCCTCAAGTAACTGCCTCACTGCCCCTCTTTTTTTCCCTCCCCTCTTCTCGCTAGAATGGAGGCAGTTCACTATTCAGAACTCGGTCTAGCCCAGAAAGTGACATCAGGCGGATCTGCTCGCAGCCAGACAGCCACTAGCCTACCATCTCTTATCTCGCAGTCCTCGCTTAGACCAGTCGCAGCCAGCATTGGTGTAACGCACATCGACAAGCTCATAGGGGATAACTTCCCAGTCTGGAAATTCCAAATGAGCATCCTATTCCGTGCAAAGAAACTGCAGGAAATAGTGAATGGAACTACCCCGAGTGAATCCTTCATTGATGAGGAGGAATGAGCCAATAAGGACGCATCATGCCAATCCTTCTTGATTTTTGCTATTGATACAAAAAAAAAAAAAAAAAAAAAAAAAAAAAAAAACTCATGCCTCGTTTAATGAATTGCTACACTTCTAACCAAATGTGGCGATGACTGTGCACAGTTCATGAGCAAAATGCAACAGAGAACGTGCAACTACTATAGCAGCAGTTCTTTGACATGCGGATGAAGTTTAATACTGAGGTGATTCACTACATGAGCACCATTGAGCAACTTGCATATCAACTAAACGATTTGGAAGAGCCTATCTTGGATCAAGCCGTGATTTGCAAGATCCTAAGTACCCTGCCGCACCGCTTCCGTTATCTCTTCTCAGCATGAGACAACGTCCCGAGGAGCGAGCAAACAGTAGAAGCCCTTACACTGCGCTTGCTCAAGGAAGAAAGCCGAAACAAGATTCAAGAGGGCATGAACGAAGACAAAGAGAGCTTTCTTCACCAGTCGAAGCCAAGGCTAAGTTTCAAATCAAAATCAAAGACCCCTCTCCGCCAAAGAGAGAAGGAGAGGATCTGCTTGGATCTCAAAGCTCAAAAAGAAAACCAAGTGCCGAAAATTTGGAAAGAGGGGGCATTGGAAGAGTGAATGTCCCAACGACAACAAGAGCAGATTGTTTGAAAAGATGAAAAATAATGGCATAGGCAAAAGAAATGTGAGGCAAACGCTACCATTACCAAAGAATTTGATGAGGATAACAGCACGGCTTTCATGGTGCACGCTAACGAACCTGCCGACGACTCCGAAGCTTGGTATATGGACGGAGACACGACGGACCATATGACAGACCGATTAGATTGGTTTGTTTTGCTAAAGTCTATACCCCCCAGGGCGATGGCCCGTGATGATCACTGACTACAGACGACTTAGGGTCTCAGGAGTCGATCGCATCAACATTCAATGCAAACTTGAAAAGGCGTGGAAACCACCGCACATCCATCTACAACTTGAAACTGTGGAAGAACCTTTTCTTCATAGGACAAGCAGCTGACAAAGTGTTTGTTACTACATACACTCGCCGCACATGCTACATCACAAGTCTTGAGGGGCAAAAAAAGTTGTTTTAATAGGGATCCGACTAAACAAATTATACAAACTAGAACTCAAGGTCGAATGCCAAGCTGCCCAAGCTCACATTGCCACAACACGGGATGCACACAGCAGATGTGATGAGATGAATTCAAACCCAAAAGGCATGACAAAATCCTTAGTGAGCACGATAGAATTCAAAACGGGACAAGCCAATATACAAGCACCTCCCAAAACGACTACAGTTCCTACAAGCATAGAAGGGGCCACTGCACCACTCCCTTACCATCGAACTACGAAATTCTCAGAATACTAGTGGGCATCCCCTGCCAAGGTAAACACCAACATGAAGAGCTCAATTGACCCATTTAAAAAAGAAAAACAAGCAAAAGTACAAGAAGCACCAATGGGACTCAAAAGGGAGGAGCAAAGAAAAACGCAGAGAAGAAGGTTAACTGTGTGGCTTGAAATGTTTGAGCATGTGCATAATGCCGTGACCGTGCACATGTACACTTATAATGATGTTCACGGTTTGGGCTTGCAGAGCCATGTAGTGCCGAAGACTCCATGCAAGGGCTATGCAATGAGAAAGAACTTCAGGAAGACATTCTCGAAGTAGCAATCTTCACCGAGGGCCGAAAAACCAGGTGAGTTTTTCCATAGCAATGTATGCAGACCAAATGGACAAGGTTTCACTAGGTAAAGCATGTTACTTTGTCCTCTTCAAAGTTGATTTTTTGGGGTATAGAATCATTTATTGCATCCGATACAAGTCAGACGTGTTTAAAAAAAAAAAAAAAGATCTTTACGCACTCGTTTCTCAGCTAATAGGAAACGAAGTCGAGAAGCCTTGCAGCAGGGGGTGAATTGTTGAGCCAAGATTTCACACAGTTTTTAGTCGATTTGGGCATCCAACATGACATTACCAGCCCCCACACTTTAGAGCAGAACAATAGTGCCGAAAGGGAGAACCCCGCACTGATGGAGTGTGTGCAAGCAATGTTATAAACAAAGTTGAGCCTAAATTTTTGAGAAGAGGTGGTCCAGACCGCCGCCTACTTCCTAAACCATACAATCTTTTGAACAAGAAGCTACAGGACCATGCACGAGCTATGGATCGGACGAGTGCCAATAGTGTTGCACTTGTGCATTTTCGAATTCACCATATACATTCACATTTCAAAGGCAAGAAGGAGCAAATTAGATCCAAAGAATGTAAAGGCCATCTTTGTTGGATACTGTACCAACACCAAAGCATACCAACTCTGGAATATGCAACAGCAGAAGATGATGATAAGCCGCAATGTAATCTTTGATAAGTTATCACTCCCCGGGCAAAGCACTCCTGTGGAATTCTCAGGGCTTTCCTCCGTCCAGTAGTCTTTGACTGAACCACAGTTAGATGTGAGCAAAATTCAACAAGATCCAATAGCAAATCAAACGAAACTACCAACCTCGAAGTACCTGGAGCAAACAGAGACACCGACAGCAACTGAAGGATGAGTTTTTGGGGAGTCAAGCGCAGGTGAGCCAAACAACAAATCTCCCACCTATTCACCAACTCAAAGCCCAGCCACCAGGATCAACTCACCGCATGCCGCTCCATCGCTCTCATCAACCTACCTGCGAGACTACGTAGTTCCCAACACTTTTGTTAGTCTTACCTCAAGCCAACACATCCTAGATGACCCCAGTACCTATGAAGTACTCGCAAGCCTCGAAGCGGCCGAGTAGAGAAAAGCAATGGAGGGGGAACATAAGTCACTCTTGAAAAATGAAACTTGGCGGCTTGTTTTCCTACCTCCAGATTAAAATCTAGTATGATGTAAGTGAGTCTATAAGGTTAAGACACATTCCAACAAAACCATCACAAAATTCAAGGCACGCCTTCTGCAAAAGGGTACACGCAGCAGTTCGGGGTTGACTACAACTAGATGTTTAGCCTCGTATTAAAATACAAGTCCATTCGAATGATGTTCACCATCGCACCCCAATAATGCATGCCGATAATTCAATTTGATATACAAACAACATTCTTCCATAGATCGCTTTGACACGGAGATCTACATGCAACAATTGCAGGGATTCGAGATCATGAGCCGAAACAACTCGCAGAAGGTATGTCTATTGCTCAAGAGCCTACATGGCTTAAAGCAGTCCAAGCGGATTTGGAATCAGACATTCCATGATTTTCTCATGAAGTTTGACCTTGAAGTAATGGAGGCAGATCCCTACATCTATCTTTCGAAGTCAGAGCCGCGACTCATTGTGACTCTCTTTGTGGACGATGGCTTGGCTACATCCTTTCAACGGCCTAGTTAAAAGACCTCGTGCATCACTTGGAACAACTTTTTGGTATCACCCACTCAAACGCTGACCTCTATGTTGGGCTTCACATCCTTCGCCTCCAAACCAGTGGACACATTTTCATCCATCAAGCAATGTACCTCCGACGGATATTGAGCCATTTCGGTTTCAATAAATGCGCTCCAGTGAGTGTACCCAGTGACCCCAATACCAAGCTCGACCATGGCGGAGAATCCCTTCCACCATCGTTTCTCTACTCTGCTGCTGTGGGGTGCCTCATACATGCACAAACCCTCAACCGTCCTGATATTAGCTATATGGTCAACACCGTAGCTCAGTTTTCAGCAAGCCCACAACGCTAGTACTACCAAGCGGTGGCACGAATTTTTCATTACCTCGCGGGCACTCTCCACCTTTGCACTGTGTTTTAGCAGCACAACCAAGACGATGTTACTCGAAGGGTATGGAGATGCGGATTACACTGGGGATGTCACAGATCGGAAGTCCTGCACAAGTACGCTACTCCTGCTCAACGGAACACCCGTCTACTGGTGTAGTAGAAAGCATAATTGTATTTCTACCTCTACTATCGAATCCAAATATGTGGCAGCCAGATCTATTATGAAGGATAACATTTGGCATCGTCAGCTACTCGCCAACCTACATTACAAGCAGAGCCAAGCCACACGCCTCTCTCTGACAACCAAAATGTAATTCAACTAGTTCACAACCCTGAATTCCACC